CAGTTTACTTTTCGCGATAAAGTTATTAATGCCTCTCTGCTTCACTGTGGTTGTCACCGTGTCCCCCACTAAACTTCCCTCACAGATTACACAGACTCCGGAAAAAGACATTTTTGCGTCTATAACACGTTCAATAGTCACCCAATATCCAGTCTTGGTATTATTGAAGTCGAGGAAGCCGTAATAATGGTGTAAAGGAAACACTGTCAATAATTTGCACTACACTTAAGAGATATTTTGATATTTTTATCCAGACTAGCACTAGACTACTCGTATGCCACGTGGCTTGGGCCTTAACTGAATTATTAACGACTATCGGTTGAATGCGACTGAAGCAGGGACAGCTGCTCCATCCCGTTAGGGGAAGGGGCCAGGTATAGACCCTTCGATTCTAAAATACTACTAAGAGAGTCGGCATAATCACGAAAAAATTTGGATTTTCGTCCACAGCGATGCTAGTAGTTTCACGTTTGAAAATAAACTGAGAAAATATTCGTTAATAATAATGTTAATAACATAGACCCTTCGATTCTAAAATACCACGAAGAGAGTCGGCAAAATCACGAAAAAAAATTGTACTTTCGTCCACAGCGATACTAGTAGTTTCACGTTTGCAAATAAAGATAGAAAATATTAGTTAATAATATTAGATAATATTAGGCACTGAAAATGCAGGAAAAAGAAAATGAAAGGGACGGCGCCCTTCGATGACCCAAGGAGTCGAGGGGTCAATACGGCTCCATGGCCATATGCCTCAGGTAGATCATGCACTAAAAATGATGCTTAAATGGTGAGGTGATTGAATTAGGGCAAGTGAATTGTGGGGTACTGCCATCAACTTTCCTGATTTTAGTTCAGGGAGACATAGTTTAGACTGTAACATGTTCTGTGCCCACTTTAAGGTTCATTGTATTTTGTCATTGAACATTGTTGAGAATTTCCATGTATTTCAATTGTTTCCTTAAGCCTCCCCAGGTATACGCATTCGACAGAGCATTTGAAAGTTCTGCGCATGTCATGTATATCCATGAGTGGCGCGCGCAATGGGGGGCCGGGCATACGTGATCAGCTGATTATTTGGGTCTTTTTGTTCCAAACTGTGTCAAAAAATTAATTAAAAAATAACAGTAGGCTCAGGAACATTACTTCTACTTGAAATTTGAAAAATTAGGTCAGCCCAACCTCTGAATATTTTTACTTTTTCGATAGGATTAGACAAATTAATCCAGTGTAGTTTTTTGGCATTCGCCCCAATTTTTTCATTAGTTTTTAATTAATTAAGGATATTTCTGTTGAACGTGTGGGTGCACATTTTTTATATAATGATCAGGGGAATTTTCTCTACATTTTGGTGTAATTTCAGCCTGCCAGGACTTTTTGAGGTAGTCAAGGTCCAATTTGACTGGCCTAGGAGGGAGCTGGACCTAGTGGAGATCTTTAAGGCTTTGAATTCCCTATACAGCTGCAGTGGAATCGCGGTGTTATTTGTCAGGAATGAATACTTGAGATATCGGGGACAGGGGAATAGGCTCATGAAACCCAGGGTGAGGACAGACCTGATGATGAATTTTTTACCCATCAGAGTGGTGAACGAGTGAAATGCACTTCCTCAGGAGTTAACGGAGGCGCGAAATTTGGAGGAATTCAGGATGAAGCTGAGGGCGGCCATGCGGATGAGGGATTCTGAGACTATAAGGCCCTGAGTCAGGGAGTCCTGATACTTTTTCCTTCTTTCCTCTTTGCTGTTTCCTCTCTGTTACTCTGTGTTAGTGTTGCAGGTGGCTGATGGGGCTCCCACGGGGATCGGAGTACCCTAAGTGTGCCTGGACTTGATCGCTCTCAGGGGGTCTTTGGAAGGGAACCGGGGCAACTCGTCATTCAAGGGGTTGTTGGATTTATGTGAGGGGAGATCTGCAGCTAAGGAGAGATATTCGTGTGCATATGTGCATATATATTGTGACGTATTTCACACCTCTGCGGAACGGTACGAGAATACGCAGCCCTCGGTGACCGAATCTCAAACCAAAAGTCGAGCGCCAGTACGTTTTCTCCCAAAACGCACAAAAACCGAGACAAACGAAATTCCAAACAATAGGACAACTGCCGACAGCTCAGAACGACCGCGTTGGTGGCTGGGTTCCACGAAATGTTGTCTTTCACGGATCCTGAAATGACTAGGTTTCTCTAGCCTAATTTATGGAAATTATCAAGCATCCTGAATCAGGGAAAATACACAGAGTTTATTCAGTCGGAAAACCCCTTCCTTATCTCTAAAATCTTTCTCTCAAATCTCGAAATTATATATCACTGAGTTACAAATCACAAATCTAAAGACTCGATACATCACAATTTCCCTAACCGTAATTCGTCAAGAACTAAAATACTAGTCGAGTTAAAACAGAAAGTCAGAATTAATCAAAATAAATCGAAGTCGAACGATAAATGTCAAAAAGATAGGATAACTAGTACAGTTTTGAATATATCAATAATTACAGCGAGGAAATAATATTATTCCGAGAAATGAACACCTCGACAATAGGCTGAATGAATAAGAAAATTCGGATTCCGGTAGACGAGAACTGGGGCTGTCTCGAGAGACAATAATCACGATAATACTTGCGACCTCATACAAGGTCACACCACAACGAAAACTCGAGCGTGGAACCTGACGCTACATCCCCCATTCTGTTCTTAAAGAATTAATCCCGATATCGAAATAAAAATGAAATAATTAGCTCAAGATTTCAAACATCGGAGAATCCCATTCTAAATTCTAAATATCAGAATTGCAGCTAGCTATCGAGAGATCCCTTAAAACTAGCCTAAAGTATCACTGAATTCGCTTAAGAAATTAATCATCATAAAATTCGAACTTCTCAAATAATTCTCGAGGGGAAAAAAACAAGTCGAAAGCCAACAAAATTTCCAGCCACGAGAGGCTATACTCGGCTGAACAAGTAGCAAGAATTTGTGCAGACAAATGAATTGATAGGAAAATGGCACCGAATTGCCCGACGCTAAGCGTCGATCAGACCAAACCGCGATATAACCACAGATTCTTGCCACCACTATAACTGCAAAATATTTATCCGGAAATTATTCCCCCGCTCACCGTGATCCTCCTCAAGAGCCGGAGCCTCGGAAGCTGGGATGAGGTCGATCCTCGCCAATAGATTTCCCGATCTCACCAAATTCCTCCAACACTTGGACCGACAGGCCACAGTTTCCCTCGAGAGAGTTTACGTGTACTCAACTGATCCCTCGCACGTCCAAACGAGAAGTGTCGACACCAACGACGCTAACTCCGGTGCTCACTCCGATTCCAACGTCGGAACACCTCATTGGTCCATGACGACTGCAATGCGCTCTCCCATTGGTTGTCAGGCCCAACCGTCCTGACCACCTTCCCTCGTGCTCGTTATCACTGTAGCGGCATGAGTTCAGAATCGCGCCACCTCCATCTATCACCAGATTCTCCTAGGGAAATCCCCACAATGCACCGGGGTCCCTAGACCGTCACCATGCTCCCCAACTCCAGATCCATCCGCTAGCGTCGCCACTCGGTTGTCCACCGAAGCTCCCTTCACCATGGGAACTCCGTCAGCTATTCAAGTGCTGGCGACTACCCATGTAGTCAGGAGATCTCCCCAAGGCCGATCCTCATCTCCAACACCACAGCCCCCAGGACTCCATATCCCTCGACGACGACGGTAGAGACATTGGCTCAGTACAAAAATAGTCATACAAATAAATCAAAGAAGAACAAAAAAAAACTGCGAATCGACTCTCGCTTCACCGATAAAGTGACTTCTCGTCTGGAAGCGGAAAAATTCACCGTTGAACGGTCGAACCCAAACAAGACGTTACAATATATATAATCTGTTATTCACATTGAAAGTTTATACGAATTGTTGTACACTATGCCTATTTTCCACGTCACTCTACTTTCTATGAGATTTATACCAGCTATGCTGTTTTTCTCAACATAAAATAATAATAAGAATCTTCCCCTCAAGATAATAATGTCGTTTCGGAGATATTCGATTTTTTCTGAAAATCTTTTACATGGAATGTCTTCAAAACTACTCAACCGATTCCACTTTTTTTTTCAAAACGTTCGTTTCGATGCCTTCTATCTAAATAATTCGAAACATATGCACTTTTTCGTACAAAGTTTTCAAGGTATTCCTGTTTTTCCGTTTTTTGGTGGAAAAACTTCGTAATCACTCTAGCTTGTGCAAAAATTGAGATATCAACTTAATATTTTTTTTTTGATACTCATCTCGATGTCCTCTACCTTGATTAATCAAAATATATATACACGTTCATACAAAGTATTCGAAACATTGGAATTTTTATAGCACCCATGGAGGTGGCAGTAAAGATCTGAAATTTTTGCTGTTAGTTAGTGTTGTAGAGTTACGAACTTTTGGAAAATTCCAGATCACTCGGAAGTCCGCCATCAATATATTGATGGCGATAATAAAAAAGACATCACTCAGTGATATGCTGACTGTCATATGGCACACTGACATACGCTCGCTGTCCCCTGCTTGTTTGGCATTGTTTTTAGCCTTTCAATTATTCAATTGACGACAATCATTCTACACATGTCCAACCAAAATGAGAAAAGCGAAAGACCATCATCTTTTCATTCAGCAGAAAAATAAAAAATAATCCCATTTAATGCACCATTTTTCTATCGAAATTCAGGTTGATAATAAGTCAGTAAATAAGGCTCTACTCTCAAATCATATCTGAGATTTCTGAGCCAACAGTTGACGTAGACAAGCGACAGATATATCTCACATCGGATATTTGTTGAATTGAACTACAAGAATATTTAAGCGAAGCCTTCTTAAAAAATTACCAGAATTATTTTGCTTCCCCTTCTGGCGATGGGATGACCATAAACGCTAAATTTATTTGGAACCCCGTCGAAGAATCCAGATGACTATAATCGAAATATGAGAATTTTAGTGATTTATCCAATGACTTACAAAGGCATATCAATGATGGTGGTGATTCCTCCAGCAGCAGCAGCTTGAGTTGCCGTCCGAAAGCCTTCCCAATGAGTCCTCCCAGGTTCATCACAATGCACATGAGAGTCCACTAGTCCAGGCATCAGAATTTTTTCTCCAAAGTCTTCAATCACAACTCCCGGGTATTTTCTCTCAACATTGGCCCTTTTATCAGCCCCTTTGAACACCTCTTTGACAACCCCCTTCTCAGTGATAACTATTGCCGGAACCACTTCCGACCCCAAAATTACTCTCTGCGATCCAAACGCCCTCATTTTCAATCAAAATGGATTTATTGAATGATTTCGAATTGCTTCTAGAACCCCTACACTTCAAATGACTTCTGAACCGCTGATAGATTATTCTTATCAATTTTGAGATAAGATTTGCTTTGAGAAAAAAGGGAGAGAGTGACTTTGATGAAAACAAATTATTTTTCTGCCAAAAAATAAAAAAGATTATTCCTCCTATATTCTCTAAATATTTTATTAGTTTTTTCTTTTTTACTATGTTTTATAGGATTTTATAATCTGTCTAAAAATAATTTTCATTATCGAGGAATTGTATAAGAGAAAAATATTTAGCTTTTTTTTTGTTTTAAATTCGCCTTTTCATCAATGCGACTTTTTATAGATTTTCAATTCGATATTTGATGAGAGAAAAATATATTCTCAATTTTTTAAAATAATTTTTCCACTTTTTGGATTGTCCAAGGTATCTTCAGAGTGTATACCCTAGAAATTTTGCAGTTGGTAGTGTGGCAAGGTCAACAAAAAAGTAAATGATACCCGCAAGGCCTCGAAAATTCATTAAAAAAATTATTAATGAATTGTTTAAAGTGTTTTGATGTTGGAATTATTATTGAAGTTTACCTTCGAAGAGGGAAAATGGACGATCTGGAAGGCGATTCTGATGCACTTCGTAATTGAAACACCACTCAGCAAACTTTGCAGCTCGGTACAAGTATTTAACGTCCGGAAACAGTGTATTATGTAAGACACATGTTATAACACTCAGGCAGTAGCTGTACATAATTAGCATTAGGTAAAACCTTGCAAATAATTGTTGCTTTGTTCTGTTTTATTATTTATGCTAATTAACATCTAGGAATTTAAAATTTTTTTGCATGCCTTTTTTTTTGTGTAGGTGTTTCTTCTGATAGAAAAGAAGAAACTTTCAACTGGGGGCTTTTGCACCTTTTTAGTTGATGTGAGGTTTCAGAGATTAACATTTTCACAATCAAGCGGTTTTCATTTGAAAGAAAAATTAAAATGATTAAAGTCGATATGTTTAGTGCACGGAATAGTCGATGCGTTTGGCCTTTTATTTTGGCTGGGTTCTTCTGTGGAGATTAAGTCGCAGGGATACTGGTTACAGTCCAGCGACGCAATTACTCGTACCTGTTATTAGGGGGGAATGACTTCAAAATCATTGAGATAGTTCAAATACACTAATAGCTTTCTTATTGTATTCATTATAAAGAAGTTAAACTATTCATACACTGAGTTTTATGATACAATTGCACTAGTTAAGTGAATAATAACTAGAATACAAAAAAAATCTGAAATCGAGATAAAGCTATTGTACTAAGTACAAATTATTTTTTAAAAAAAGTTATGACATCAGAACATGGCCGCCACCCTGGCGATTGAGGTTCCATGGTACATCCATGTTGTAGCATGGATGTAGCATGGATGTAGAATGGATGTGCATGGATGTCATTTTAAGGCGAAAAATGGGCCAAAAATGATTGGAATATAATCAAAAAATTATTTAAATGCTGATAGACAAACAATTGGTCCCAATTAATACCCATTAATAGGTTATTTTGTATAATTAGGAGAAATTATTGATGGTGTGCTGTGTGGTAAAGAAGTTCAGATGGGAGAATGCCGCGAGATGGCGCCAGTGTTAAATTATCGAGTCGGCGGTAAACTGTCAGCAGTCGCA